CAGCAGTGGAGCACTGAGGATGGGGGATAGCCAGGCATTCAGGACCCTGCAGCTCTGTTATCCAACTGACACTGAGCTTAGCTAGCCAAGGGTTGATGGTGCTGGAGACAGACCTGCAGGGGCCTGGGTGGGCACAAGGGCCAAGTGAGCAGAGCCAGCAGCACAACCAGTGCTCCAGTGCCTGCAACCCACTTGCCTGAGAGCTGGGAGCTTGGACACTCACCAGGACATTGCATCTGTCCCCATATCCCTCACCACATCTGTGTCAACCCAGTGAGTCAGAGCATTCCCAATACTGGAGATCTCCATGGTTCCTCATCCCATGGTACCTAAGCCAATATGCCAGTGACTGACTGGCAGAGCCTTACGGGACCAGGGGCAGTGTCTGCCCAAGAGCATCTCTGGGCACAGGGATGCTCCACCCAGTGTTGTGGGACATAGGGGTACCCTGTCCTCACTGCTGGCTGCTCTGCAGGGCACTGCTGACTCAGGTTCCCACCCGGCACAGCACAGACCTCACCATGGGATGGTGTTTTCCTGCTTCTCCCAAAGTGCCGACGCTTGTGGGAACAGGAGCGGTGAAGGGGAAAGCAAACAGGGATGAGGAGTGAGGGGAAAACAGATGGCAGAGAACAAGGCGCAGTGTCAGCTGGTGGGGAGGGAGGGCTGGTGCAGCCCAGTGACTCTGCATGAGACCCAGGTCCCAGGAAGGGACTCCTGCCCCAGCTCTTGGTAACCTGGGGTCCCACAGGGTCCTAAGCTAGCTTCATCAGAACAAGCTACTTCCTACCCATTCATCTCATCCCTGCTGATGTCTGTCCTCCCACCTCCCAACAGCCCCAGGTTGTGTCCCAGCAGCCACCCTCTCCCAGCATCACCCCAGCTCTGGCTGAGACAAAGCAGCAACTCCTGGCCCAGCCAGAGGACAAGCAGGTTATGCTGCTGCCCAGCACAGCTGGGGATGGTGAGAAGAGAGGGCCACACTCCCAGTGGCCTTGCAGAAGAGCCCTCATACCAAAGGGTGAGCTCATCCCTGGGACATCATCACCTGCCAAGTGCCTGGTGCTGGCTGGATACAGCCTGGGGCCACGACTGCCTGGGCACAGGGAGCTCACCAGCAGTCTGACCCCTATCAGGAGGAAGCAGCAGTGAGAAATCAAAGGGTTGCCTCACTCCGCACCACAGTCCTGCAAGAGCAGCCCCTGTGCCCTAGCGCAGGAAGTTGCTCCACAAGCAGCCACTACACTGGGCCCAGTGTGAGAAACATATCCAGCCAAGCATCCCTCCTGGCAGGATGTGGCCCAGGGACCCTGCAGCCAGGTCACCCCACTGTCCCTCCCGGGGGATCCAGCCTGGCCCCTCACCCCTGTGTATGGCCCAGCTCTTTGCCAGGTAGGAGGCAGTGGCTCCCTTTGCTCCATGCCTAGCTGTTGGCTGAGGTGAGGAAGAGGGCTCTGCTGAAGTGCCCCGAGAACCTGCTGCAGCTGATGGGTCCTGGGCCATGCGGGGAGCAGGCACTGCTCCACATCCTCCGCTCTCCAGGCTGCTGGAACCTCAGCCTGCAGCACATTGAAGGAGCTGATTGCTAAAGCAGCCCTGGGAGGATGCACCCCAAGGGCAGCCTGGGCAGGGGACATCTAACACCAGCTCCAGGATGCAGCCAGTGGGTCAGATCCAGCTCTGGCCTCTCTGGCACTGTGGCAGATCCCTGGCCTTTCCCATGCTATTCCCATCCCTGGTTTCCACCACATGCAGAAGCCGCAGCTCCCACAGCCTGGGCACACTGCCATGGCACCCTGACAGCACACCACGGCGCCGTGCTGCCTGTGGCACCCTGAGGGCAGAGCCACGGACCAGCAGCACAGAGTGGTGCTGGCAGGAATAGGGCTGGGAGAGGAGTAGGGGCTTGGAGCAAGCGATGGCAAGAGCTGAGAGCCAGTGCCCCACACACCCTACACCCTATTGTGGCAAGCCCTTGAGCTGGGCAGTGGGAGCCCCAGTGGGGGGTTGCTGGCCACACTTCTGCCCCCGGCCTGGCCGCTCCCACTGACTCATGGCCCTGCTCACCAGCTTCCTCCTGGCATCATCCCGGGGGATTTTCTGGTGACTCTCTGGAGGCTCGGCAGGGAGCAGAGCCGGGGCAACAGGGAAACCCCCGTGTCTGCAGCACCAGCAGCCTCTGTGCCAGGCAGGGAACTCTGCAGGATGGGCTTGGCACTGCTGGCATGAGCCCTGTGTGAGGCAGCCCAGGCCAGCTCAGCTGTGGGAGCTGGGACAAAACAGGGGTCCCTTGGCATGGGCACGTGCAGAAGGATGCTCGGGGCAGTTGCTGCAGCTGGCACGAAAGACAGGAGGGCAGTGGTGAGCAGAGGCAGTCTGCAGGCAGGAGGGGGATGAGGCTGACAGAGATACCAGGAGCTGTGCCCAGTCCAGGCTGCCCGTGGCCATTTAGACCCAGAGCCCCTGAAAGGACAAGTGAGATGGAAAAAAACATGCAGACATCCTCCATCCCAGACGCTGCCTGAGCCACGAGGCTGCCTGTCACCACCGTCGCTGTGAAAAGGGGAAGGAGCAACCACCACAGCCCCTTCCCACGCCCTTACTCACAGTCACCCTCATGCAGACCCCCACGAGAAACTGGTCAAGGACCTTGGTGGGAACCAGTTGCCCACTTGGATCTCTGACTGGGGCAGAGGTTGACGGGACGCAGTGGCACCTCTGTGAGACTGCAGGTCTCCTGCTGGGAGGTGCTGGCTGGGCCAGTAGCAAGGTTTGGGGGATTGTATGGACCCAAGACCTGGACTCCAACCCTGTGCAGACAGACAAGCAGGGTGAGGGCCAGCCAGGGAGGGAGCATGGCACCATCCAGCCAGGGCAGAGGTCCAACAGCCACAACCATGAGATGCACCAGCATGACAAAGTAGTGAAGAGCTGAGGAGCCAGGAATGAGCGGAGACCTGGGCACGTCAGGCAGGGGTCAGGGGGAGATGGGAGCAAAGGACAGGACCAGGCATGTGGATAGCATCAGGCATCCTCCCAGGGTGAGGGGCCAGGCAGGAGCGTGGCAGCAAGGGGAAGCATGGTTAGAAGGAGTCAGCATCTTGTGCGGGTGAGACAGCGCTGGGCTGGGGAGAGCAAGTGCCAGTCGTACAGGGAACATGACCTGTGCAGAGAGCAGGGAGCACTTGGACCTGACAGATGCTGCAGGGAGAGCCAGTGTCACAGCCATCACGGCATAGCCAGGCAGCCGCACCCTGAGCAAGAGAGCCCTGAGCCCACCCCTGCTTTCATCCATTGACACTGCAGCACTCCATGCCCAGGGAGCAGAGCTGACACTCCACCACCAGCCACCCTGGCCATGGTACACACGGTGACCTGGCCATGGGGACACTTGGCACAGAAGCAGGGCAGGGCACAGGGAGCAGCTCTGCATCAGAGGCTCAGGGCCCCATCGCTCCTGCTCAAGGGCTCCAGACAGAAACAACATTCCTGCACAAACTTCCCGTGTCTGCTGCCCTGGCGCCAGACCCCGCGTGGGCTGGGACTGCAGCCTCCAGCTGGGCCCAGGACCCTTCCTGGCAAACCACGTCACATGCTGCAGCCCTGTAGAACTCTGGCACCACCAGTACCCAGCCCCCAACCCTCCCCTGCCTGCCCCAAGCTCTGTGGATGCACCTGCTCAGCTCTTTGCCTGTGCCTGCCTGTCCCTTACCTCACCTGGGGAACTCCCCACCTCTCAGCACCAGCTCCTTGCACCCCTTCATCCCTGTTTGCCGGGGCAGGAGGTGGTGTCCTGCCCTGCAGCCCATTGCCCCCAGCCCCAGTGCTGCTGCTCCCACAGTCTCTTGTCTGGGTGACGATGACGTGGCCAGTGTTATTGGGCGGCTCACTCCTCCCTGCAGGCACTGAAACCAGCACTGCCGTGTCACCACCCAGCCCAGCTGCAAACCACACATGACGGATCCCCTGGCTGCCACACCAGCTCTCGGCTCCCAGGTGGGTGGCACAGTCACCTCCCTGTGTTGGGCTGGGACATCCCACTCTGTGTCTTCCCCAGCCCCTGCACACCGTGGGAAAACCCCATCTCTTGAGAATGCTAGAGTGGGAATCCCATCCAGAGCTCCACTCGCTGGGCACTGGGGGTGGCAGCCAGCACAGTGGCACACCCTGTGTCAAGGCCACTGGCGGTCTGCTCCAAACACCGTGGGGCTCTTGTGCTTCAGGACTTGCTTTGCTGTAAACTCCATCCCATCCCTTGACCCTCCTCCCACCTCAGCTTCTGCCTCCAGCTTTGACCAACCTTTGTTCTGCCAAAATTTTCCACCTGCAGGAAGCAGGAGCACAGAGTGTTTAGGCAGGTGAGGGGGGCACAGGGTCCAGGTCACCTGTGGTGCCTTTGGGAAGGGGTGTTCATGGGCAGCCCTGTGGCCATTACTCCCTCAGCACCCCCTCCAGGGTGACCTGCCAGATCAGCCCCACAAGGGTGTCTCCTGCACCCCACAGGGGTGGGATAGGGGCTGGGAGGGGAGCAGAGCAGGACAGGGCTGAGTGGCTGCCAGCTCTGGAGGGCACAGCTGCTGTGACCATCAGTGTCATGGCACAGCACGGGTGGGCAGTGTTTTGTTCCCGGTGGT